GTTGCCAGGGACTGGGGCAGGGGAATGAGGATTTGTTTAATGGTAGACTTTCAGTTTTGCAAGATGAAAAGAACTCTGAAGTTGGACAGTGGTAGTGCTTGTGCGATGGCATGAATGCACAATTGCCTTCCCTAACCAGACCCGAGGCTAACAGGTGCAGGCTCCTACTCCTCCACCGACCCCAAACCAGCAGGTGTGTTGGGGGCCCTTATCTAAACTGTGTAGTGTTTGCATAGAACCAACGGACATCCTCTCGTTTGCTTTGTCATCTCTAGATTACTTATAATATTCAATACAATGTAAATGCTGTGTGAATGACTGTTACACTATATGACCGAGGAAATAATGACAAGGAAAAAAGTCTACACGTGTTCAGAACAAACACTGGTTTTTTTTTTGGTACCAGGGATTGAACTCGGGACCTTCCACTTGCTAGGCAGGCAGCGGAACCGCTGAGCTAAATCCCTGGCCCACAAACACTGTTTTTTTCAGTGTTGGAGATGGAAATCACAGCCTGACACATGTTAGGCAAGTTCTCTGCCCCTGAGCTGCTCCCCGGTTCCAGCTGCAAACAAAATGTTTTTGAATAATTGATCTGTGGTCAGTCACAGTCTTGCACGTGGTCACTGTGTGTGTGCAGTATCAACTGCACTTAATATCAGTAAACTGTGAGCATAAAGATGATTACAATAGTCGATTTTATGTTATGTATCTTTTACATATTAATGCAAATTAATACATACAAATTAAAATCACTTTCTAAAAAAAAGTTTGTTTCTCAATATTTCCTAAATTTTGAGTGGCGTTTTCCATTTTAGTGTTAATATACTATTCCAAGTTTCTCAGAGAGCGAGAGAGAGATTTTTTGTAATCTTTTTTTTTTTTGGTATGGGGGATCGAACTCGGGACCTTGCACTTGCGAGGCAGGTGACGGAACCACTGAGCTAAATCCCTGGCCCTCGCCCAAGAGATTTTTTAAAAATCAGCATTAACATTACTACTTAAGGACTTCTTGCTTCTTTCCCTGGCCAGTGTATCACGGAAAGTGATGTCCGGGGTATCTAAACTACAGCTGGACAACAACATTTCCTTCCTTGTTCATAGGTCTTCCTCGACTTTACCTGTTGCTCAGAGCGTGTGGTGCAGAATCTTGGCGTGGAGCTCAGCCCTTCACACAGGATGTGAGGTGTCTTTCTGGTGTTATTGTTCACCCTTGGTTTGGCACAGTACGTGCCAGAGGGCACCAGGCTGCCCACTGATCTCCTAAAGGTATGGCTCCCGGAAGCCCCTGGGTCTCTGCCCACCTGGAATGACCCTGTCCTTCTCCATGACACAGCTTGCCTATCTGTGACATGGCCCCCTTCACTGCTAAAACAGTCAAGAGTCTCTGTTCTGGCCTCCCAGGCTTTTCTTCATTTGGGTTAGTGCAGGTTTTGCATTTAATATATGCCAAGAGTGGTGAGCACGCTTCGCCATTACACATCTCTACAGGAAAAGAGAACAAGTGTCCTATATATACATGTTTATCAATTTTATATTTTGATAAGGCTATATCTCAAGGCGTGATATGCTTAGGGTGAGTTGCATCATTTTTTTTTTTTTCAGTACCAGGGATCGAACTCAGGACCTTGAGCTTTCCAGGCAGGCGCAGGACCACTGAGCTAAATCCTGGGCTTGAGTTGCATCATTGGTGATATCAGATGCTAATATTTCAAATCAACTTTGCATTGTTTCTTTTCATTTTGGCCAACCTTACTGTAAAGTTGATTTGAAATATTAGCATCTGACTTTACACACTGGAAATGTTAGTATTTTTTTACACTGGACATCTCTGTAACCTGAGGCCACTCAAATGTTTTGTAATGACATTTCTCTTGAAACTTTAGAAGATCAAAGTCCCTTTCAGCATCTCCTGTTTTCCTGTGGGTTCTGGTCTGAGCAGCCCTGGTGCTGGTTTGTCCCAAGCTGGGAGACAGGAATATGCTGCAATACAGCTAAAATGAATAAGATGAAGCCTAAAATTCCAACAGGCTTAAGAAAAAAAAAACAAAACAAATATCAGAGGATAGTGGAGCAGTTACTGCAGAAAGACAACTGGAATAAGAAGCACACCAAATTCAGAGAACTAACAATTACTTAGGAAATCTTAGACAAGTGGATGAGGAGTATAAAGGATCTGGCAGAAAGGAGAAAATTGAGTGTGTGCATGCATGCGTGTGTGTGTGCATGCATGCGTGTGTGTGTGTGTGTGTGTGTGTTGCTGGAGATTAAACCCAGGGCTCACCCATGCTAAACCAGGGTAAATGCTCTACCACTGAGCTACACACACAGACCCCAAAGGAGATGTGACATTTATCCAAAATTCTGCTGGACAAATGAAAGAAACAAAAAAAACAGGCACAGGAAGTCAAGATCCTCAGTGACCTCTACGGAGAGAAATGGATGGTTTTGAAAGAAGTGGATTCAAAACTGGTATAAATAGGAAAAGAAACAGCAGAAACAAGCAGCGGTGGAGGAAGTAAAAACTTAGAGGGTGAGGAGAGTGAAGAAATGTTGGCTGAATGGTGGGCACCAGAGAGATGATGATATTACAGACAGCTAAGTCAGTTGAAAAAAAAATTTTTTTGATTCCAGGGATCGAACTTGGGACCTTATGCTTTCCAGGCAAGTGGTGGAACCACTGAGCTAAATCCCCAGCCCAGTTGAAATATTATAGGCAGTCAGATAGAGCTGGCCCTGGAAGAAGTCAGGGCAGAAGATAAGAACAGACCACAACTGTGGCTGGAGGTGCATTCCTTAAAGGCCAGGCTTCCAGACAAAGAAAACTGACTACACCTACACACTTCCCCTAGAGATGAACAGCCGCGATTGATATTCAAATAGGTATCAATCACCTTGGTTTGGAACCAAAACATCCCTGGCCCATTTCGTCCCTAAAAATCCTTGTTTGTTCCAGGACTTGCATCCTCATTTGATTCCCATTTAATCAATATTACCTAAGCCACTATACTTGTACTCTTATCAGTTAACTGTAGTTTTTTTGGTACCGGGGACTCAGGAACTTGTGCTCGCGAGGCAGGCATGGTGCCACTGAGCTAAATCCCTGACCCAGTTGACTGTAGTTTTGTCCCAACTTATGATTTTGCTCCATAAGACTCTCTTGAGAAGTGGGGCTCATGGGCAACTCACTTCCCCGGTCCTCTTCTGTCTCTTAGACAGAAGCTATCTTTCTCTCAATCAATCTTCCTACTCTGACTGTAGCACACATCCCTGCCCAGTACTAGCGGGCTATGAGTGGCACCTGCTTTTTGCCTTCCATTATTCAGCTATATTGTTTTCTATCAGGAGTCAGACTGAAGCTCTACCTGACTCAAATGCGCATGTCAGCTGTCGGACTGGCGAGTATGGCCCCGCCCCCAGTGGCTGCCTAGGAAACCTAGGCCCTGCTCCGTGAAGTGGCAGAGCGCTGCTGAGTTGCTGCAGCTGAGGTCAGCGTGACCCCACGTAAAACCCTTTCCCCTGAACTACGGCTTCTCACTGACCCTCCGGGTTGCTTGCTAATTGTACTCGGTCCCAGTACCAGTTTCTTGTAGTATCCGAGAGATAAGCAGAGCCTCCTCCCTGACAGCCCTGCCTGGCCCCATCATGCCAGGTGTTCGGCAGTGTTCACCAGATGCCTTCAAAGCACACCCGCTCCCTATTCCTCCCACGATTGTATTCAATGAACACTGGATGCGCTTGGGGGCCCTATGTCATTAGCACCCAGGGACAATTTGCTTTGTCACAGCAGCCCAGAAGTTGGACTAGGCGAGATCCCTTTCCGGGAATTTGTGCTGCGGACCTGAGATTCTCTCCATCTCATTGGGCTGTGCCACTCGGGCTTCAAAGCAAAGTTGGGAGAAGACCTCCCGGGGCACAGCCCAGCCACCCACTGACTTCTGGGCTGGACTCGGGATCTTCAGTGTCCGGGCGGTCGAGAGCTCGGAGGAGCCCCCTGTGATAATCGGGCACACAGGGGAGCCTACTCCGGAAGTGTGTTGGGTGGGGTCAGGAGCCTCTGACCACCAGGGAGGATTTCCAACTTTGAGAAGACAACGCATCCTACCCCACGAACCAGGCCAGGGATCAGTTAGCTTGCTTTGGACAGCTATTAAAGGTTCCACCGGGACTTTAATGGCCCTGTTCTCTCTGCCCTCATGCCTGTCTCAGCTGTTTGGATTTGAACGATAAAAGAAGAGCAGGTGGAGGTTTCTTTTGGTCAGCCAGAAGAATTCCATGGCCTGTGTTTGTGCGGGAGGAAGGCAGCTGGTGAGGAGGAGGCGAGTAGTGACTGGCTCATTCTTCGGCCCCTGCTGGGCTTGGAGCCAGATACAGTAGAGCATCTGGGAGGCTGGGGGCAGTCAGTCACCCAGGCAGCAGACACCTGGGGGGACTTCATGTATGCAGAGGTGTCGAGTTGCTGTTGTTCTCTGGGTTGATGTTGTTGGCCTGGAAACCCAGCCCTGAGGGAGGAAGTCCAGAGGAAAGGATCAACAGAGGGGATACCCGGGAAGCAGTAGGTGACATAGTAAGGGATGATGACTCATCTTCTCTAACCCTAAGAAAAACTTCAAAGCTGGGTGTGGTGGCGCCCACCTGTGATCCCAGCACTCAGGAGGCTGAGGCAGGAGGATTGCCACCAGTTCGAGGCCAGCCTGAACAACAAAGTGAGACCCTGTCTCAAAGAAAAAAAAAGCCTTAAATACCTTCCCCAGACTACTCTTGACTACACAAAGGAAGTGGAAGAGCTATGTGGGAAGAGGACTGCAATTGGAATCCAGTGACAAACTGCATGGTGACTCTAAGGGAACAGCGTGAATGCAAGTACCTGAAGTGCACTGCACAGCTCCTGATGTGTGGCAGGTGCCCAGGGATGGGTAACTGTTATCACTATGGTTATACGGCAGGACGGGAGACTGTCTGTCTGATCAGGCAGCTATGACAAAATACCTTAGGCTGAATGATTTATAAACACAGTTTATTCCTCACAGTTCTGAAGTTAGGAAGTCCAAGACCAAGGTACCAGCAGGCTCAGGGTCCAGCGAGGGCGCTCTGCTTCCCTGGTGGCGCTGTCTTTCTGTATTCTTGCTGCTGGAAGACAGCACTCGAGGGCCTTTCCTGAGGGCATCAACCCCTTCTGTGAGGGAAAAGTCCTTCTGTCCTCACTGCATCCTAAAACCTCTCCTCCTAATATCTTCACCTTGGGGGGTTAGGATTTCAATACATGAATTTGGGGGGACATAACGTTCAAAACACAGCAGAGGCCATACCATATCGTGCCACAGTGGTTGGGAGAATTAATGTAGGAGTCAGAACCGAGAACAGAAGTTTGAATTTCAACGCTCTCGACATGGAAGAAAGTTCAAGGAAGCTCCCTGGACTGAGTGGGAGCTGAGAATCCTAGATTCTTATTTCAACCCCAACAACCACACAGGCCCAGGGCAAATGTCTTACTTGTTCTGATCTTTGGCTCCTGGCCCACTGTTGAGGTAACCGTGCCTCCCTCATGAGGCCGCTCTGAGGGACAGAAGGGTGCACAGAAAGGGCTGAGGGTGGTGCTTCGAAGAGGGTACAGTCACTCCTCTGTGGCTCTTGCTGTACAGAGGCGCCTCGGGCAGTGAGTCGGCGTGTGCAGGGATCAGACCCTGTGGGGCGCTTGGAAATGACCCGGACTCAGAAGAGTGGAGAACTGTGGAATAGAGTCTTTGTGGTGTCAACAGCAATCTGTAAGTTCTCCTGGGTTCCCGGAGAGGACCCACTCTAGTCTGGCCAATAATGTGCATAGACCCTCATTAGCGTGGTGGGATCCGGGGTTAATTACACACCCCAGAAGACAGACCCTCCAGGCTAAGGCTGCCTATCGTTTTCTGAGTTTTAATTGTGGGTCAATGTGAACTACACACATTTACCACCCTAACCCTTTGCTGGTGTGCAGTCAGTGATGTTATGTCCACTGACCATTGGCGTTCATCTCAGGACTTCCTAATCTTCCCAAACTGGAAACTGTCCCCAGGAAGCAGCAACTCCCGACCCCACCCGTCCTCCTGTCCTAGGAATCCGAGGACTCTTCCACATCCCTCTGAGGAGTGCAGTCCTGGGGCATCCGTCTTGGTGACTGGCCTACTCCACCTAGAATATCCTCCAGGCCTGTGCACACTGTAGCCCACAGCAATCCGAAGTAGGATAAGGCCACCTTCCGATATAAGCAATGCCCCAGGCATTTAGAGCTTGGGTTTTTCCTGGGATCCGGGCAACTGGGAGCATGTTGCAGAATCCAGTTTTGGGTCTTCCTCTCTGGCCACTGGATTGCTTAGCTGGGCAGGCCTCTCCTTTTCTGTAGCAGCTTCCTGTCCTGCTTCAGACTCTGAGCTCAGCCCTGCTTCCGCCTTCCAATCTCCTTGCAGTTCCTGAACTGGCCTCCCGGCCTGGCCTTCTTGCTTCCACCCCTGCGGCTCTCTGCATCCTCTGTAGGCCTGGCCCTGCCCTCTCTGCTTCCAGGAAGTCCTCCTAGCAGCCCCGTCCGTGCTGGGTGAGTCGTTCTGTTTACTCTTTTAGTTTTGATTTTTTGTCTTGCAGGTTAACGGGATTCGAGGTGGCACTGTGATGTTGGTACTCACTGAGCACTGGCTACTGCCCGGGTCTACTTAGCCTTCTGCTTTCAGCCTTGTGTCCTGCCCACACCCTTCCTGCCCCTAGCAATCCCTCTTCTCTCAGGCTGACTTTTGATTTGTTTTCATTTTCTAGTCTCCACCTATGAGTGAGAACATAGGATATTTGTCTTACTGTGTCTGGCCTCCATCCATTTTTCTGTAAATGACAAGACTTCAATCTTCCTTGTGGTGAATCATTCTCCATTGTACAAAAACCCTGGACAAGATGCTAACAAAGTGAACTCAGTAGTCTGTTGATAAGATCACACTCAATCATGGAGTTGGTTTCATTCTGGGGACACAGAGGTGGTGCAACACAGGCAAATTATAGATGTATGACATCAACAAATAGCATGAAGGCTAAAAATTAAACAACCAGTTACCGGGGATCGAACTCAGGACCTTGTGCTTGCCAGGCAGGTGTGGCACCACTGAGGTAAATCCCTGGACCAAAATGACCATCTCAATAGAAGCATCTAAAAAGCTTCAGCATCCCTTCATGATGGCAAATTAGGTACAGCAGGATCACAGTTTGACACAGTAAAGGCGTCACTGGACAAATCTATTACAACATCGTAGTAAATGGGGAAACAAAATGTTTCTCCTGAGATCCAGAACAGGACAACGGTGTCCACACTCTCCGCTCTTACTCAAGAGACGGTTCATTTCTGGCACTTGCTGCTTCACATCGTGTTCTCTGCTTGTCCATTTTTTCACTAAAGACAACTTTGTCGACCGCACTTTTGGGTAACTCCAGTCCCTGGCACACAGCAAGACCTCAATAATTGCTTGTAGAATAAACATATGCATGAAACAGTAGAAAACTGCTAGGCAACTCACCGTTTGACGGGTGGTTTTCTGTATAAAACCAAGTGCTGTCAATAGAACACATGAGCTAGCCTGACACAGTGAAGGGGCTGGGATCAGCTACAGAGATCTTCAGAAAAGTATTTGGCCCTGATCTTGCGTCAAGGCGATGTCCAGAGCAGCTGTCTTTAATGTGCCTGTGCTCAAATTCAATGTAGACTAAATGTATATGGATATTTAAATAGATTGTTTCTTTTTTCCAGTGCTGAGGATTTCATCCAGGACCTCACACTGAGTTACACTTCAGCCCTTTTTAAATTTTAAGACAAGGTTTCACTAAATTGCCCAAGCTCCTACCTTAGCCTCCTGAGTAGCTGGGATTATAGCTGTGCATTGCTGTACCGGGCTTGAAAAGAGATTCTTAAGCTATTTGTCAGCCTGGGCTCCTGAAGGATGACATAGAGCAAGCTCGGCTCCTCTCGCCCCTCCAGCCATTCCAAACCACATCTACAGCACAAGCTAAAAAACGGACTCTCTCACATCGAGCCAATGACCTATCATTCCCAAGTTACAGCAGCACAACTCGTACTAGCTAGACCTTGAAACCAGCCTATATATATGTCCATCATCGGGTGAATGGATAAAGAAAAGTGGTATTTGTACACAATGGAGTACTACTCTGCCTTAAAGAAGGATACACTGGAGCGTTAAGAAAAATAAATCAGGCTCACGAGAGGGGATGGAAAAAGAATGAAGATGTGTTACGTGCATGCACCAACTCCCCACGATGAATGTAATCATTTCGGACAGCAAGCACGAACAAATAAGAATTAAAATAAAGATGGATTTAATTTTTTTCCCAGTGCTTTCTGTGAGATTCACAGGGTGCTGCACCTTCGAGTCCCGCCCTGTGCACCTGGAGGCGAAGGGCTGGCCACAGCTGCTCGGGTGCTCCGGTCCAACCCCACAGCTTCAGCCAGGGTTTGCCCCGGGCTCTGCTTGACCCAGCTGCTCCCATCCGCCATGTCTTTATTTGTTGGGTGGAAGCGCTCCTTTTCCTGCCAGGAGGAAAAGCAAGCGCACACTCCCGCTCAGAGGCCCTGTGTGCCGGAGGGCAGACAGCAGGCGGGGCCCAGGGACTTCTCCAAAAACCCACAGCCCCACGCGGGCCTCGGGCGCCCCTGCAGATGGAGACCCGCGGCAGGGTGTGGGGCGCAGGCTCACGCTCTGCGGCCGCCCGCAGCTGCCCTTCTCAGGCGCCAGGCTCATGGAGTCAGGCAGAGGAATCTAGAAAACAGCAGGGTTCCCTGGGAGACAAAATGATCTTGCACGGGACTCAGAGGGCTCAGGGCTATAAATCCCACCCCCTCCACTTTTGGGTTTTTGAGACAGGCTGGCATGAACTCACTATGTAGTCCAAGCTGGTCTCGAATTAACTGGGGTGCTCTTGCCTCAGCCTCCTGAGTTCTGGGATCACAGGCGTGGGCCACCACGTGCACCCCAGCTCTTTTATTTTATTTCAGTCAGGGTCTCACTATGTTGCCCAGACTGGCCTGGAGCTTGCCATCCTCCTGCCTCAGCCTCCCAAGGAGCTGGGATTACAGTCCTGTTCCACTGCACCCAGCTCACAGTTCTTACAGCACCAAGAAACTGACATTCTAGAGGTCATCCCTAGAAACAGGCTGCTCACCTCGGGAAATTTTGGTTCGAGGCTCTAATCTTCTTATGCCAATGATGAGGTAAGAGGAAAATCTGCTTTGAAAAGACACTTCTCTTACCTTGAGAAGAAATAGTAAGAGGACGGGCAGACACACGGACCATTGACCAGGCTGGGTGTCCACGGTGGCAGCAAGGAGGGTGGGGAGACTGTGGGTGGAGCCGCAGGATCTCCTGACAAGGGAAGGTGAATCGAGGCAGGAGGGGAAGAACCTGCTGAGAGGTTAGAGAGCCTGCTGATTGCCAGACTCAATGCCAGACGCAGGCGGGGCCTCCTGAGCTGGGAGACGTGGGAGGCAGGCTGCGTGGGGCCCCAGCTTCCCCGGCAGTGGAGGTGCGGGGCCCGGTGCAGGGAGCGGAGACCTGGGCGGGCAGGAGCAGCTGGAGGACAAACAGGAACCCCGATGCAGGGAGCTCAGGACAGAAGGGAGCAGCGGGGCTGGGGCAGCGCACAGAGCCCCTTTCCCGGGAGTCAGGGGTGGAGTGCAGGGACCCTGGAGGGTAAATCCAGCTGTTAAACAGCCCGCCCTGCCCTGTACCAGCCACACCTGGCCTGTTTCTTACCGCACGCTGGACATGGCTTTTGAGAAAGGCCAGGTACTCGTCGGCTCTTGGGGCCCCTTTGTCTCGCTTAGCACAGAAACCCCTCCTCTGCCTTGGGGCGCAGGGATCCCCCTCGCTGGGCCCAAGGCTTGCTCCTGTGCAGAGGTCCCTGGCAAGGTGCACTCCGGGGACCCTGCAGCTGTCTGCCTTTCTCTGGGCTCCCACCTCTTTAGCTTTATTCACCAAGGCTGAAGTAAAAGGGGGCAGAGATAGGGAGAGATAACCAGAGAGAATGTAGGGTCGGAGGAGGACATATTTTAAGATGGCAATCGAGCAGACAGGTGGCTGCCGGGGATGGAGGAGAGAGGTCCACACGGCCCCAGGGACGGCCTGGAGGTGAGCGGTGGGAGCTCGGTTATCTGCAGATCGGACTGGACCTGCTGCCAGGCAACAGGCACGGGGCGCCTTGTGGGTTCCAGCAAAGGTAGGTAGGTGGGTTTGGTAGGAGGGTCAGGTTCACAGCAGAAGGTAAATCATCACTCAAACTTCAGATGAGACAAAGACTTAAAAAATAGTTCGACCACTTAGGAGGGGGGAACGCAGCTTGGGGTGACATTTCTTGGCCATTAGGAGTTCTTTGTAGAAAATCAAGAGCCGCATTGAGCTACAGGCCCAGCCATCCTCATTTTATTACTCTAGCCGGCAGCGCGGGGTTACTCGCCAAACCTGCTGTTTGCCCCATATTTACAAACCCTGTAGGAACCAGCCCAGGTGACACTGCTAACTAGGAGCGAATGGGTTAGAACAGGAAGAGCCCAGACCTGAGCCACAGTGCCCCTCCCCTCCTGGACCTGTGCTGCCCGGCGTGGGGCTGTCGGCTGGGTTCCTAAAGGCAGGTGTAGGGCCCCATTCCAAGATGGAAACATCTGCAGCATAAGCTAGAAACTGGACCATCACATCCAGCCATCGACACGTCCGGGTTCAGATGCTACCTGCAGCCCAGGCTAGTTTGTTATTACACATTCCCAGCTCTGGCATTTAACCTGTCTGGTTTTGATTTTGACTCCGAGGCCCAAGGAGATGCTCTTGAGCAACTCCGTGATGTTATCGACATCCGGGAAGTTCTTAGGACTCTGCGGCCACCGTGAGGGCCCACGGGGGCAGCGCCATAGGCAGAGACCTCATTATGAACCGACTCCCGCAGAGAAAGGGCGCAGGACCAGCGTTCTTACCGCGCAAGACCACCCCCGCACCCTGGGCTGGGGCCGGCTCCGTGGAGGGCCGTGCTCGTGTCGCAGTGTGGGAACCTGGGTCCCTGGCGGAATCTGTGCTATGACTCTTGATCGCCAGAGACTTTGACGCCAGACAAAGGCTCCGCTCACACTGGGGAGCAAGGAGACAGGGTAACGCAAGACCCCAAGCCCAGCTCGCCCTGTCTTTTCAAACTGTTTTGCACCTGTTCCTGGGTGGCTTTGCATCTGTGGGCTGTGGCTCAGCCACGTAACCGGACCCGCTGCTCCATCCTACTGTGGTAGGACTGCAGAGCCTGGAAAAAAGCGACAGGTTCTCCAGGCTTCCCGGGAGGCTTTCAGAAAGCGAAAGCAGCTGTGCGTCTGGCCCGCCTTTTCCCACCCGCCCCCTGGCGGCTCCATGCGGAATGACACCCTGTCGGGGCCGGGCCGGGCCGAGAGCGCGGCTGCCGCTCCGCATTCTTAGCTGACTTGCAGTGTCAGTTCCGCGAAGCGCTTCTGCGACCTTCTGAGCCAGTCGTGTCGGCTCACAGCGCAGGCAAAGGGGACCCCGCCTACGGGCACACAGCTGATCGGCAGTGGGGTCCGGGCCGGAGCCCCTCCATTCACCTAACCACCCTTTTCCCCACACCCATTGCGCACTCCGAGCGGCAGCGGAAAGGCGGGCAGGGCTGACTCCCCCGGCAGCTTCTCAGGCTGGCAAGTAGGGGGCAGGCCCAGGCACGGGGTGCCCGGGGCAAAACGGAGTTCCGCACCCTCGGAGCGCAGCGCAGGCGGCGAGCAGCCCGGACGCGGACCTATGTCTGCAGGGCGGCCCGGCTAGAGACCGGGGCAACCGACCAGCGGAAGTGGCGCGCTCCGATTCATCGGTCTGCTGCCACCTCCCGCCTCACGGGCACCTCGGAAGCCAATGAGGAGAGCGGCAGGGAGGAGTCGGGAGCCACAGCGGCTGCCCAGGCGGGGAGCTCAGGGAGCCGCCGGCAGGCGGCGCTGTCCGCAGCGACGGACAAGACCCTGAGTGCGCGGGGCGGAAGGGGCAGCGCGGTCCCGGCTCCCTGCAGGGCAGGCCGCGCCGGGGCCGCGGGGTTTTCCGGGCGGGGTCGCCCGCGGCTAGGGCTGTCACCTGCGCCTGTGTACGCATGCGCCTGGGGAAGCGCGGCCCCTCACCGCGAGTCGATGACACCGCAGTAGCGCTCTGCGCCGGGCCCGAGGGCTCCGAGAAGTCACCGCCGGACCCCGGGACGAAGGCGGGTTTCCCGCGCGTCCAGAGACGCTGCAGAGGGCGGGAGAGGCCCCGAGTCAGCCCCGCCCACGCCGGCTCGCCCCGCCCACTGGGCCTGCGTCGGGCAAAGCAAGAGGTGCCGCGCTCGGCTTCTCGGCGCTCGTCCGCTCAGGTCTGGCCGGCGCGGCGCGGGCGGCTTCAGGGACGGTCTGTCTGAGGGCTCGGGGCGGCCGGGCGCGGCATGGAGGAGCCGCGGGCCGCCGCGGGCGGGGACGTGTCCGTGCACAACTTCAGCGCGAGGCTGTGGGAGCAGCTCGTCCACTTCCACGTCATGCGGCTGACGGACTCGCTGTTCCTGTGGGTGGGGGCCACGCCGCACCTGCGCAACCTCGCCGTGGCCATGTGCAGCCGCTACGTGAGTGCGCGGGGCGGGGGCAGGGGCGTGGCGGGGGCGTGGCCGGGCGGGCAGGGGCGGGGCCCTGGGAGGCCGAACTGCGGCCCGCGGGGCTGGAGGGACCGAGCTGGTGCCAGGTCACAGCAGCGGGTCCCAGGAAGGTTGGGGCAGCAGACAGCATCGTGTCGGGACTGCTAGACATGCTCACGCGGTAGCGTCGGCCCTTCCGGTCCTCACCGTTCTCTTCTGAGCATTCGGTTGCTTGGGGACCTCGGCAGGCAGGTGGCCTTTGGGGGGCAGCAGTTCCAGGGCTTCTTCTGTTGGAGGAGAGGCGGGGCTCCTGGGGACACCGGCAGGATGATAGGGCTGTTTCAGAGATCCCGCACATGTGCTTTCGCCTTGTCCTGAGGCTTTGGTCACACGCGGTGGGTGAGCTGTCGGCCACTTGGCCCCAGCACCCGGACCGTGTCCTGGGCAGACCCTGCCCCTCCTGGGCCCGCCTCAGCCTCTTGCAGCACTGGTTTGGGTGAGGGAGTGAATGCACTTTACCTGGGGCTGGCCCCGTGCAAGTCCGTCCCCCTCCACCACGTCCAGGCAGGAGACACAGGCACCAGGCTCCCTTCCGGCCCTGTTCCTTCCACTGGGGGCCTGGATGTTTCCTCTGGGGCAGAGAGCTGGGCCAGTTTGAAAAGAGGGAAAAACAGGAAGGCTCAGGTTCTCTGTGAGCAGAACAGGCCCAGAACAGCCCTAAGCCTGTGATTCAGCGGAACAGGGCCCCACGAAGCTCTTGTGCTTTGATGGTCCCTGCAGCCCAATGCTTTACTCTCTGGCCCTTCCCAGGTAGTGTGCTGGCCCTTGGTGGAGCACAACACCAAGGGTCTGTGGGAGCCCCTGGCTGCACCCCACACGTGGGCCAGAGCCACGGAGGACACACCGTGTGGCTGCTCCTCCTCTTCAGGCCCCTGCTGTGGATGACTCCAGGCCCAGCCAGTTGGAGGGTGGCTGGCCCCTGACCTGGTATCCCCTGGCCCCAGCGGAGTGGAAGGGGTACCCTCCTCCCTCCAGCAGGGCCACTGGGCGTGGATGGGCCAGTGTCTTCATATGCCTTGGGAAGTAATGGCTGTTAATAGGCGACAGGACAGGGCTGTACATTTTATCTTTGTAGAAAAAGGCCATCCGGGAAGTTAAATTTGCTTTTTTCAGAAAGTTTAATGTAAGCTATTTCCGTACAGCCAAGTGTTGAAGTTGGAATCTCCAAACAAGTGGATTAATTAAAATTATATACTTTGTATACTTTCTCAACCCAAAAGCATGCAGGAGATTTTCATTCTTCCCTGCTTGTTGGCCTCCCATCTTTGGTAGACCTGAAGAGTTCTGGAAGTGATGACCTTGAACCGGCAGGAGGCAGGTGCAGGCTCTGGTCTGTCTGCCACACTGTGCTGCGAACAGTCAGTGTGCAGGTCGCTTGTCCCCGCGTGGACAGGTTCCCAGAGCCTGTGTCCCTCTAAAGTCATTGTCACTTCCCAGGACCCCCAAAGCTCCGTACCCTTGCTGTTTGTCCGTGAAGTCTGCTGTTTGATAAAAACTAACTTTGGCTCTATTCCAGGTTAGTGAGTTGCTTTCCTTTTAAGCCAGACCTTGTTCACGGTGACTGGGGTGAGATGGCGTGCGGATGTGCGGGGCGCGTGCGTGTCATCGCATCAGTTACAGCCCTCCTTCCCTTCGTGCCTCGTCCCTGAACTGCGAGTGTCAGGTTTTAGCTCGTTGTTCGGGGCCGTGGCTGGTGCCCGTCTCGCAGTCACAGTCGGCCCTTGCCGACCGCAGGAGCGCGGACAGCCATCAGGGCCGGGGCCGGGGCCGGGGCCACGGCCGCTCGGAGGCCGAGGTGAGGTTGGGGTGCTGCTTTCTGCTCGGGACTGGGATGCTAGGCAGCCACACCCGGATCCACTCGTCCTCGCTGCGGTCTTGTCTTCGTGGTCCTGTTTGCTTCCTGATACTGAAGCCCTTCGTGCGAGATCCGCCCTAGAACTTGGTAACCCCTCCATGGTTCCAGGGTTCCAGCTCCATGGTTCCAGTTTCGCCTGTCCTGGCTCCCCGACCTCCTTTGTGTGTGGGGGGCTGGCGTCAGCCTCGTAGGCTGTGGACAGGCACAAGCCCTTCTTTCCTGGGAGCGGCGCCTTTCCTCACAGAGCCTGCTACTGTTGCTGCCGGAGAATGAGAAGCTGCATGGCTGCTCGAACTGAGGGGGAAGCTGCAGCACACTTTCTTTCCTCCTAGGACCCCATCCCCGTGTGCACCTCCCTCCTTGGAGACACTTCCGACACCGCTCCCACCGGCCTCGCCCAGCGCCTCGGTAGGTGGCCAGGCGGCCCGCTGTCCAGGGCCACGAGGCGAGGAGGCTGTGGCCAGAGCTGGCACGGCGCCGCTGTGTGTTGGGCTGTCTGTAACGCGCGGTGTGCTGAGTTCCCGCCGCCCCAGGCCAGCGTGTTCCCCTTGGCCGTGTCCACAAGCACATTTCCTTCCTGTCCTCGTGGAGGGGAGAGTGACTGACGCCCTGCAGTCCGGCCCACCCTGGTCCTCACGGATGGGGGAGCAGCTGTTGGCACCGTGCATCTAGGGCTGTCCTGTACCCTCGGTGTGACAGTAGGGCCCAGAGGGGATGCTGGGCTGGCCCCTGAGTGTGCGTGGTGGCAGTGAGCAGAGAAGGCTGCACAGTCTCTGGCACCCCGACACACTTCCGGAGGACACTCGGGTCGCCCAGGTAAGAGTGGCCTGTCTTCTGCAGTCCTCAGCTCCAGGAACCCGGGTGTGCACACCCTGTCCCTCTCCGTGCTCCCCAGTGTCCTCAGCACTTCAGTTCCAGGTCAGCCCCAGGGTGGGGGTGTGCACCCGCACTGTAGAGGACTCATCCTTCAGCTGTGCCGGGTGCTGGACACAGAGGATCTGCCGGCCTGATCCCTGCTGAGTACGAACATCTTTGGAGCCAAGTGTGGTGGTACACACCATGATACCAGTACTCAGGAGGCTAAGGCAGGAGGATCACAGTGAGTGTGAGGCCAGCCGGGGCTCCATACTGCATCGCAAGACCCCTTCTCAAAACAAATAAAAACAAAAGAGTAGGAGCATCTGTCCCTGTCGCCCTGAGGTGTGTGCACGGGGCAGGCAGCACACAGCTGTCCCGGGGAGAACAGCCTGCTCCGAGGCAGGCAGGAGGAAGGTCCCAGGCCCAGACTCGCCACGCCTGGCTCGTAGCGGTGGGAAGGCAGCTCTACCTGGAGGAACTCGCAGCTGCTGCTTCTCTAGCCTGGCGTTGGAGAGCCCTGACTGTGTGTGTTGGTAACGTTTTCTCAGGAAGCAATTTTAAATTTACAGGAAAGTCGCAAAGAAGACAGAAAGAATCCCACTAACTCGAGCCTGCCCCCAGATCCCTAGTCATTGCCCTTCCCTCAGGGTTCACGAAAGTCAGCTGGAGACCACACCAGCTCTGCTTCCCAGCCTCTCACTGTGTGTTTTGGCCAAGCATGGAGACCGGGAGACCCCGTAGGAAGGGGCAGGAGCTGTCTAGACAGCGGCTCAGCTCCAGCTCCTCTGCGGAGGACGAGTGCAGGCTCTCGTGGCCCCCGAATCTCCAGGGTCCCGGGCTGCACAGAGCTCAGATCAGGCAGGGTGGTGGTGACGCGCAGCTCCTGTTCTCTCCGCCTGGATGCACTGTGATGCAGAGGGAGCGGGGTCCTGCCGTGGTCACCGTGGAAGGTGACGGCAGCGGGACAGCGCCAGCCTTGCCAAGGATGGCCCGAGCTCTTGTCTCTGCAGGCGGAGCTGGGCTGGAGGGCGAGGCAGGCAGACAGTGCTGCTGTGCTCCCGGGCCAGCCAAAGGGGAGCCTGGATTGCAGGGGCCCATGCAGGGTAACCTTCCTGCCAACCAGAGGGCCACCAAATGGGCGCAGCCAGGAGGGGCCTCCCTGCTCTGCCAGGCTGCACTGGCCTTTGGATCATTGTTGCACCAGCGCCCCCAGGCTGCCTCGTGCACCTCCATGAGGTGGAGGAGCAGGTGCACAGGGGGCCCGGGAAAGAGGCAGTCAGATAATGCCCACAGACTCCCCGAGCCCCAAACACCAGACGTCCAGCCTCGAGCAGCCGAAACAGGCCTTAAGCTCGGGAGGTTTGCTCTTCCTGAATTAGCTCGGGAGTTTCAGAGCTCGGGTGGGGTGGGGTGACAGGCGCCCGGCCCTCTGAAGGGGCTCTGGCTGGGCGGGAGAGGCCGGGGCACCGGGCTGCTCCTGGAGGAGGCTGGTGAGGCGTCCTGAGGGGACCTCAGAGGGCAGAGGGTGGGCTTGGAGCTGCAGGTGGCCGCCCGGGATGCCCCAGGTGCTCCGGGTGTGGCAAGGCCGAGGCGGCCGTGGCACCTCTTGGCCAGCCCTGACCCTGATGGCCTTGCTGCCTGCCCCCGGGATACCGTGTGTCTTCCTGATGCTGGGCTGTGGGCCTCTGCTTGGTTTGCAGCTGGGCCAGTGTAGCCATAGCTTGTTCTGTTGAAAGGGGCTAAAGCTCACCTTTGGTGCCAGGATGTCACACATGTACACACGTGTGAAGATGAATGTGTGCATGCACAGAAATGGGATTACCTTGGAAGGGAAACAGAATTAGTCGAAGGGGCTGGTGCTCAGGGAGAACTTCAGTGTATCATCTGTGTGGTTTTTGGTAGCGGGGATCGAACTCAGGACCTTCTGCCTGCAAGGCAGGCTTCGGCACCACTGAGCTAAATCCCCGGCTCTCATCTGTGTTTTTAAAGAAACAAAAACCCCAAAGCTAAAACCCTGTGCAGAGCAGAGGTTCTGGAACATCAGCGTTGGGGTCCCTGGAAGGCTTGTTAACACTGGCTCCTGGCTGCACCCCATTCTTCTGGTGCAGCGGGGCGCAGGGGCCCACACCTAGGAACCCGAGTGGAGCCAGAGGGGCTGCTCTCCCTGAACCCCGCTCTCCCTGAGCGCCCACAGGGCCAGGCAGCGGTGGGGACCTGGAGCCTGTGGGCCTTGTTCACAGTGGGTCACTGTGCTCTCTTTCAGCCAGGAAGACCAACAAGCAGGTGTTCGTCAGCTACAACCTTCAGAACACAGACAGTGACTTTGCCCTGCTCGTGGAAAACAGGATCAAGGAGGAAATGGAGGCTTTTCCGGAGAAGTTCTGAGTGGCAGAAGGGAGGATTTCTAACCGGACATTTAAATAAAAGAGTTTTGATTTGGTCATCAGGCTGTGTTCCCATTTTATTTTTGCCAGGTTAAGCTCTCAGCAGAGTGGGCTGGAAAGGCTCATATTGAGGGGCCTGGAAGGAGGAAAACATGGGGATAGGAAAGGCTTTCTTGTTGACCACTCAGTGACGTGGAAAAGGGGTGGAAATGGATGTATTGGGATTGATGGGTAGAATCCAACAACCCCAAATTTAAGTCAGGCACAACTCTGTTACTATTTACATCCCCAATTAGAATCAGGGTTAGTAATGTGCTTTAGGGTAGCATGGTTTAGGTTTGTGTCAGGCTCCCCAGGCTTCTGTCCTGTCTGCCTGGTGAGTTGATGTATTCATCATCTCACTTCAGCTAACCCCTTCCCAGGGGACTTTCTTTTGCTGTCTTGTCCCTAAACCCTCCCCCGGCCCTTCTTCCCTAGCGTATTCCCTCTGAACTCTTCCCCTGGGCACTTCACTTCTCTTGCTTTTTTGGCCCACTTTACACTGTTTACTAGAGCTATGTTGTCAGGTTTCCAGCTGCTTTGGGCTCTGTTTCCTAATCTACAAGATGGGACTGATTCCTACATTGTTGGGTTATTACTGGGGTTAATATGCTTTGCCTGGGGAATTTACATTTCAACTATAGTCTTAGCACCTTCATTTTTATGGATTCTGATGGCTCACGTCCCTCTTGCTCTTCCTGTTACTATCTCCTCTTCTCCCCTTCTGTCTTCTCTTGTCTCCCATGCCCAGGTATCTGCCTTTTTCTGTCTACCAGTTGAGTTCCATTCCTGCCTTTCCCCAGGGCCCCGGCTTTGGCAGGCCTGCAAAGTCCCCGGATGCTTCTGTGAGCAGGAAGGGTTGGTACCACTGGAAGGCCCTCTTAATCTTTGGTGTCCCTGGGACCCTTTTGCTACTAGAGTTGCCTCATGAGGGCCCAGTCGTGGCTTCTCTCATCCAGCCAGGGTAGCCAGCTGAGGGTGGTGACACTGGCCAGGAACCGGAGCCTTCACAGGAGCCTGTCTGGGGCTCCAGGGGCCACCCTCCGATGCCGACGTCCCCCACAGACCTCTGCAGCCTCAGCCCATGTTACTGTGGCTTGGAAAGACCGTGGGCACCTCTCTTGGAATAGAAGAGTAAGTGACACAAAATCAGGGCTATGGAGAGAAGAGTTTGGTATAAATACTTTATTAGAGAAATAATGTTTTCTTGTTAAAAAATACTACATTAGAGAAGAGAGTTTTGGGTCATCAGTCTTCCCTCGAAGAATCACAGTGTAAGATAGTCATTTCTTGACCTCTCTAGGAACCCTCAGGCCCCGGATTACCAGAACATAATGAGAGAAAAGAATTCCTGTTCAATATACTGAGCTCTCAGGCGGTCTGAGAACGGCCCTGGATAAACAGTTTCTGTGAATCCGATCTCTGCATCTGACTGCCTTTAAACTGGGGCTCTGGGACAGAGGGGGGCCCACCCCCCGGGGCCAGCGGAGACGCAGTACAGAGGCCTGGAAAGTAGGGATGCAGGGAGGTCTGAATCAACAGGGTTTTTATTACTCGTCGGCAATGGTTGTGAAATGCCCTTCGTTGGATGCCCTCAGGTGAGGTAGGGAAGACATTCCAGAGGAAATCTGTTCATGGGGCAACATTTTTATTTCTGTACATTTACATACAAATTTTCCCCAAAGGTACAACAGATGCGACACCATGCAGACACGTAGCTGTGCATGACACTTCAGAACTCAGTGTGAGCTTGTGCTATGAACGAGTACAGCCAGAGGGACCCCGTCGGCATGGACAGTCACAGGGTTCCTAGGTTCCAGCCCCACACGGCCGGCTTGTGGAAAGGACAGAGGTAGGGATGCGTTCCTCACTAGACACAACACACCGCTGCTTCTCACACACACGGTACACTACAGTGAGGTGGTGTCCTTCGAAACAAGGAGAGGGCTGGCACTGGGCCCCCAGCCCACCCTCCACCCTGGGGCTGGGCGAGGTGGCGGCCGCACATCACCGGACGGCACTTCCAGTTCAGGGGTTCCGGTTTGGGTCTGGGAAGTGGTTGTGTCTGCGCTACTTCCATTACCGGGTCTGTTTCCGCTTGCTTTTGCGTTCTGTGGCCAACCCAACTTACCAGTCCTGTCCTCCAGTTGGAAGCGATGAGGGTCTGAGAAAACAAGCACACGTAAGACTTTTTCTCCTATTTGCCTTGGGTGCTGATTGGGATATTTGATAAGAATTATTACTGACTTCTGGAAAAGAACAGAATGAAGAAATACTCAGTCCCGTCTCACGTGCTCACATTTGTGCCTAACTTTTATCAAAAAGGTGGACAAGGGCGCAGGGGTGGGTGGGGAGGGCTGCAGGGAGTCCAGACCTGGGTGGGTGGCCGGAGACCACGGGCAAGAGCCTGAGAGGCGTCTCAGCCACTGCTAGACAGAACCCTGGCAGCCTGGTGCTGGGGGCCAGGGCTGAGGCCGCAAACCCGAGGACTATCAGGCGCGTGTCAGCCCTGGGAAGCTGCTGCCTCTGCCTGGCACCCATCTCTGGGCTCTGCCCGGGAAGCAATCCCTCTGCGCCTCACTGGAGGTTCAGGGACCCTCTGCTGCCAGCAGGGCCCTGCGGCGGGCCAGCCCCCCACCCCAGCACTGCTCGACTTCGGTCCGGAGCCTGCGCCTTAAAGCAGCGTCTCCTCTGGTTACAGTGGCTCAGACCTAACTGCTGAAGCAGGGAGCTCTGTAGGCCCAAGGTTTTATCATCCTTCCCCAACGGAGAGCAGAGACGCGGGACAGAAGTTTGGACTCCACCCTCCCAGTGCTTTCAGCAGCACGAGGCAGCTTCCAGGCTTCTTTGAAAAGGCTGCACGGCCCGAGACTGCTCACAGCTTCTGCAGTGTCCCAGCCCATCCTCAGCAGGGTTTGCTGCTAGTGCCCTGGGAAGGGTGAGAGGTATTTCACAAGTTTGGCACGCAAAGGCTGCACGGATGTGAGGAAAGGGCTTTGGAAAGGTGAACTGGACTAACAGGAAACATGGAGCGAGGAGAGACTGGGAGGCCCGGCCGAGCCAGACTTGGAGCAGGTGGGTGGGGGACGGCCACAGTCCGGGCTGAGCGAGGCCCTGGAGGCCCCAGGCGTCTGTGACCGGAACACGGCGAGGGCTGTCACTCCCCACGGGCCAGGCAGCAGGCTCCGGGAGGAGGCCGGGACCGGGAGAAACAGCAGCAGAAACAACCGCTCTGGCCCTTTCCAAGAGGAGCGACTGTCCTGGGAAGAACACAGCCCGGAAGAACACAGCCCGGAAGAACACAGCCCGGAAGAACACAGCCCGGCGCTGTGCGCATGGCCAGGGGTGTGGCGGGCGGCTCCAGCAAGAAGCCCGGCGAGCAGGGCCTGAGCCGCTGCAGAGCCGCCTGCCTGCGCTGGGGAGGTTGGCTTCTCAGTGTCCTCTGCAGACGCGGGGAGGAAACCTCCCCAGGCCAGATGAGGCGCACGGCGAGAACCTCGAAGCCTGGCAGGCGGCGCTGAGCTTTGGTGAGTTATTGCTTCTCTTGGTTCATCCTGCTGTGGCCACTCCGACTCTCCCTTGAGGGGCCGCACCCCGGCCTGCGCCCCACCGGGATCGCTGCCTCCGAGGGTGCCCTGGGCACGTGAGTGACAGCGGAGCTGGCGTCGGGTGTGTGCTTGAGCTGTGGTGACCGTGCAGGGAGAGCCGCCCTCCCTCCCGGGATCTGCCTCAGTCGACTTTGTCAGTTAGGTTCCTAGTGTTTTAGTTCAGAAAGTAGCCATGGTTTTCAAGTAGTGCTGGCAACAAAGCGGACTGGAAAAGGGGAATTTCTCTGTGGGAGCTAAATCTGGGGAGGAGCTTTAATAAAAACGAACAAGTCCCAGACCTCTACGCGCCTGCTAGCTGGGCAGCAGCTAAGCAAACCAGGCATCAGAGAGCCGGCAGTTCATCGCTGATCAGTTACAATTTCTGGTGCAGTCGGAGTTTCCCTCAAAGAGCTTCCAGCATCAAGTACAGAGGACGACCCTGAAGAGAGAAAGGCTAAGCTGGCTTTGGTGGCGTCTGGGAGCCGCTTTCCCCCAGCACATGGGACGGAAGCTCTTACCTTACACACGGAAGGGGAAAAGTAGACTTTAAAAACCACACACAGCCTCTAGCAAAGACCGAATTCGTGTGCGCGTCACTGTCTGGAATCCAGGCCTGGGAGGCTCCATGAGGGTGTCACGCTGTCCACAGGGGGCCGCGGAGGCCCCTGAAGCGTCAGCCACTCATTGGGTCCTGGGGTGACCTTGGGGTGAGCTGCCTCGCTGGCTGGCGAAGGCGGTGGTTCCATTTCATGATCAGTGAGAGGAGAGGGGATAAAGTGCTTCTCGTAAAAATGACCAAAATAAATATAAACATTTAATGGCAGAAAAGAAAGTCTGTGAAGGGTTATTTCTGAAGAGTCTGTTCCTCCAACCCGTTCCTTGGACTTCTGGAAAGACAGGATTCCCTGACACCAGCTGAAAACCTTGCGGCTGGGCAATGTGGCAGCGTTGCTGACTCTGCGACCTGGCCAGGCGTCCACTCCCCGGTCTGTGAACCCGTGCCAGAACCCCCAGTGCCCGGAGCCCACGAGGGCCCGAGGGACAGCCGCTCGAAGGCTACATGGACTTCATGCCGTTGGCTGTGGCGCCCTCGGGCAGCCCGTCACTGGCAGTGGCCGCGTCGTGCAGGCCTGAGTAGTCCTTGAGCTCGGCGTTGGTGAGCAGGAGCGGCTGCTCACCCTTCTTGTGCGGCAGCAGCGGCTGCCTCGTGTAGTGCTCCCCGTTGGAGATGTTCTCGGGCAGGTTCTGGTCCCTGCTCTCGGGCAGCAGGAGGATGCAGATGATGCAGATGAGCGTGCAGCAGGCGAAGATGATGTGGTGCAGGAAGTAGCCTTTCTGGTTGTGCAGCTCGATGATGGGTGCTGTCAGCATGCCGAAGCCCGCGCTGGCCAGCACCAGCCCCAGCCCGCCGCACCTGCAGGGGGAGGCAGAGCGCAGGGTTAGCAGGGGGGGGGGGCAGGGCCGGGAAGGTGTTCCTTAGGACCACGAGAGGCCATGGCCGAGCAGCATGGACTGCGGCCCCAGGCTGCATGCAGCGGAAACCTAACCTGTCTGTCGCTGGCCCTTGGAGGCGGCGCCTTTGGAGAGTGATTCCCATCAGACGTGGTCAGGGTGGGTGGCTCTATGGTGGCAGGAAGGCTTTCTAGGAAAGGGAGGGCCCCGAGCCAGCTTGCCCGGCCTGTCCTGCCAGGGGCTGCCCTGCTCCACTGTGGGACCCTGCAGAGTCCCCAGCAACAAGGGGCCCTCACTGGGAACAGCCCTCCCACAAGCGAACAAACCTTTGTTCTTTGTATGCTGCCCAGTCCGGGGCACTCAGTTAGAGCAGTAGGAGACAGGCAGATGCCAGGGAAGCTCCGCCGGTCACTGTATCGCACAGGTCACCAGGGCCCCACCTGTGGGTCCTCTTTAGTTCAGCAACTGCTTTTCTTTATCAACTCTAAAACTTGAGCTTAATTTAGAATCCTACTGTAAATGGAACAACAACAAAATCCCCACAGATTTATTTGCCATAAGTAATGCAGAGAAAAACCAAAGTGTTAGTAAACTGTGCTACTCCCCCAAGGCTTTGGAAAAGGAAATGGCGGATGACCAGAAGTTACAGAGGACATTAAAGACAGAGCGATGCTAAAAGAGACTTTCTCTGTGTCATAATTGGAGTTCTCTAAAGAACTGTTCTCTAAAGACAATAACTTCCTCAGAACGAGCCGTCATCCTGTGTGACCCAGGGCCCCGCTCTGAGGATTATGGCAGGATGGCCGGGAAACAAGGCCACGCTTCCCTGACTGGGAGGCACTTGCTGCGGTCCTGAGCTCACAGAGCAGGAGCCCAGGAAGGTTCCGGTGGGATGAGCAGACACACGACACTGGGCAGGTCCTCTCCCACGGCCAGGGGTCTTCAGGCACTGAGAAGCCATGCACTTCTGGCGACAGTGGGAGTGGGGTGCTCCGATGCCAGGCCAAGACAGAATGGGCTTTTCTGGGGCCTCACTGGGGCGGACAGCTGACGGTGCTCTTGTCTCCAAGGAGTGCAGAACTGCGTGTCCAGCCCCAGAGCAGTGGGCAGAGATGGGACTGCAGTTGGTTTACGGAAGAACTTTCTAACAGCTGCTCCAGACTTATGCACCGCTCTGTGAAGGGACCCCTGTCCCTGGACATTTGAGGCGAAGGGACTGAGGGGAGGTCCCCGCAGCAGGCAGGAAGGGGGGGCGCTCTGCCAGCTACTGACCGTCTGTGGTCCTCTTGGTTGGCACCGTAGGTGGCTCTTAATTCACAAAACCACTACTACAAGACCAACATCAAAGGCCAACGCACTACACGTGTGTCTATATGCTAGCTACAAACTACCTGAAAATGAAATTAAAATGCTTAGAGATGAGTAACAAAGGACAAGCAAGACTTGCATGGTGAAAACTATAAAGCACTGCTGACAGAATTTAAAAAGACAGAAGTAAATGGAGGGACATTCCACGTTCACGGACTGGAACACACAACACTGAAGATGGCCTTTCTTCCCAAGCTGATCTGCAGTTTCAGCACAAACCCTATCAAAATCCCAGCTGATTTCCTCCTCCTCCTCCTCCTCCTTCTCTTCCTCCTTCTTTTAAGAAGATGATTTGATCCTAAAATCTATATGGAAACGCAAAGGATCCAAAGTAGCCAAAAGCAATTTTGGAAAAGAACAAAGTTGGAAGAGTTACCTTCCCAATTCAAAACGGACCCTGCAGCTGCATTACTTAGGGCAACGCTGTGCTGCTGTATCAATAGACAGATCAATGGAACAGAGTAGGGATTTCAGAAACCAACCTTTACACTTCTGGCTGATTTTTGCCAGAAGCAAAGTCGGGGGGTGGGGGGGAAGGGTAGTCCTTTCAAAGCAGGGCTGCATAATGCAATAATCACACGCAAAAGAATGAAGCTGGGGCTCTACCTCCTATCGTGTAAAGAAGTGAACTCAAAACGAGTCAGAGAACCTACAGGAGAGAGCTAAAGTCACAGCATTTCTACAAGAAAGTGTAAGAGAAAAATCTGTGTAACCTTCGGTCAGGCAGAGCTCTTAGCTATGACTGCAAATGCAGGATCCAGAAAAGAAAAAGTTGCTAAGCTGGACTTCACCGAAAGTAAAAACATCTTCCTTCAGAGGACACATGCCTCAGAAGGGGAGAAGACAGGGCCCGGACAGGGAGAAAATGGTTGCAAAGCAAATAACCGATAAACGGTGTGTGTCCAGAGTATATCATGAGCTCTAAATACAAAAAAAGACAACCCAATGTAAAAAATGGGCAAAAGACAGACATTTCTCCAGAGAAACTATACAAACCACAGATGTCCAACAAGACACAGAAAGAAGCACGGCATTCTTAGTCATTTGAAAAATGCAAATCAAAACCGCAGGGCCATAGCACTGCACACCTGCTCAGAGAATTGTAGTGAAAAAGAGAATGAACAGCACATTGAACGGACTGGAGAAACTGGACCGTCAAAATGAGCCTCATATATTCGTACTGCTAGCAGCCACTTTGGAAAGCCGATCGGTAGTTTCTTAAAAGACTAAACATAAATTTTTATGTAACTAGCAATTCCACATGTGAAACACATGGAAAACACATACCCATGAAAGCCTGACAAGCAAATGCTCATAGTAGCATCATTGCTGTAGCTGAACCCTGCATGGCCCAGATGCCCGCTGGCTGGTGAACGGGCAAATGAAATGTGGCATACCAGACCCGGCAGATAAGAGTCAGCTGTATAGAGGAACGGACGCGAACACATGCTACACTGTGGGCGATTTTAGGAGCATGCTGAGGGACTGTCTGATCCCATTTATACGAAACGCCAAAAAGGGCAGATCAGAGACTGAGAGCAGATGAGCAACTGCCTGGGCTGGGGTGAGGGCAGAGAGCGAATGGAAAGGGGCATGCGGGGGTTTGGGGTGCGTGATAGAATGGCACACAATGGGATCGTGGCCACAGACGCCCCACATTTACTCCATCACTGAACTGTGAGCTGTAAATGGGTGACTGTGAGGTGTGTAATTACACCTCAGTGACGCTGCTATGCCACCCAAACTGTCCCGCTGTGCAGGCCGGGTCTCTTGTGGGGACAGAGTCTCGATGTTCTGTGCAGGTAGACCCAAGGCCCCTTTTCTTCCCAAGCACCAGAGACCATGCACACGGCTCTCTCCACGGCTGCTGAGGCTGCCCAGGCAGTGTCTGTGTTCTGCTCTGCTTGTCATGGCATTTAGCAGCCCGCCCTGTGCCCAGGGTCCAAACCTGGCTCTCACAGACCTCCATGGGGGATGTGGCCTGGGGCTGTGTCAGGCTCCTGTTGGGCCCAGATCTCTGTTCCTGCTGCAGACTGCTTCTCCCCTCCCAGCATCCCCTCCGGTGCCTTGAGTGTGGGCTGGGCTTGACTTCAAGGGACAAGTCGGCCACTTCCTAATACTGAAGCACAGCTGGGGAGTGAGATGTCCCTTCTGTGATCAGGTCGCAGTGGACTGGCTTTGGAGCAGACCTGCTGGCTGTCTTTGGTAAGTGGCCATGTTTTCGAGGTCCACATGGCAAGAACCGTGGTGGCCTGGCCAGAGGCTTCAAGGAGCTGAGGCCCTCTGTCCACACCCCATGGACACCTGGGTCCTGCCTATGGCTGCTGAGTGGGGAGCACATCCTGTCCCCAGCCCTGGGCAGGAGACTCAGCGAGGCTGTGCCACCCTCAACCCACAGGCACCATGTGGAAGTTGCACCATCCAGCTGTTGGCCCATCAAGGATGCAAATAAGAAAGTGTAATACTTTGGGGGATCTCCCAGGTGCCAGCCCCATTTTCAGACACAAGGTTCAGGGCCATGTGCCTCTTCCTGTCAATATCTGCCCACATGCCTGACGTTCTTCCTCGTCCATGGACTCTGCAAGGGCATGGATTATTTTCTGTAGCATCAACTGGCACACACTGTACTTAGTAAGCATCAGATGCTTATGGCTCACACTGGCTTCCTAGATGGGAAGTTCGTGTCACCTGAGGGAATGGGACAGGTTAAATATAGATGACCACAGCCAAGAGCAGTGAGGTCACAGCCATCCATCGGGTGAATAATATGCACACCTATAATAGCCTCCCCATACTTCTGATAAATCCGGTCCTTTCAGGAGCCGCAGGGTGGTGGAGGGATGTAATCAGGAGCTGGGGATAATGTTTGATCCGGCCCTTGAGACCAGCATGACACCCTTTTCTCTGAAACCTCCCTGGCTTCCACCTGCCTTTCCTGGCACTAAGTATGAACAGCACCCTTGCTGCACTGGAAGGAACAGTGTAGACTCCTGGAGAGGCTGTGTGGAGCTGCTGCTGTTCGTGGCTCATTTGAAAAACCCTATGCACGTCTACGTGTGAGTACAGCATGCAGTATACACTGGTAAGTCCATACAACCTGGAATGCAGTCACAGATGCGTAACAACATTTCAGCCAACGAGCCACAGACACCACTGGCTCCCATAAGGCTGCAGTGGAGCTGAACAATTCCCTTGCCTGGTGACCCTGCAGCCACCACGATGGCACGGCACCGTGGGTTCCTGTGTGTCTGGGAGGCTGCTGGCGGAGAGGCCTGATGTGCTGCCAGGAACAGGAAAGGATAACACAGTTATACACAGGAGGCAATGCTTGGCCATGCTGGTGGCTTGTGCACTCACTAAGCTGGACTTTTTAGGGTTACTTTAGAGTGGACTGCTCTTACAAAGTGAACTACAGAGCAGTTGGCTATGTGACAGCAGCAGCAGTTGCATGCATCTGTGTCCCCTTCCTGTCACATGAGTGCCTAGACCATCTAGGGCTATGTCCTAGAACTCTAGGACATCCACGCAACAGTGAAATTATCTAAGGACGCACTTCACAGAATACATCCTTTTTTGTTGGTACCGGGGATCGAACTCAGGTCCTTGTGCTTTCGAGACAGGTGGCGCAACCACTGAGCTAAATCCCCGGCCTGAATATATCCTGTTGTTAAGCAATGTGTGACTATATCTTTATATGTATCTATTTTTTCTATGGAAGCACTTTTTTTTGGTTTTCTATCAAAGATTCTTTGAAGCTGGGTATGGTGGCACACCATTTCAACACTCAAGGAAGCTGAGGCAGGAGGATTGCAAATTTGAGCCCAGCCCAAGCAATTTAGACCCTGTCTCAAGATTAACCAACCAACCAACCAACCAACAAGGCTAGGGCTGGAGTGTAGCTAGTGCAAAGGCCTTGAGCTCAATCTCCAGTTAAAAAAAAGGGGGGGGGATTCCTTGAACTCATGGAGTACTGGGGACAATTTTGATGGAAATTGGCATACCATTTTCAGCTTGTTTTTTTCTCTGGTGACATCTTTAGTGGGGTATGGAGACGCTTGCTTTTACCGTACCCTCCTCTACCAAGATGCAGACCTTGGCTAGGCATTTTCTGCTGTTCTGCAGGTGGCCACTAGAGGGCAGCCTATGCCCGTGTTTCCACAGCAGAGACCCGTGCAGTAATTGGATTTTACAGCTAGGAGAGAGCCCGGAGCAAGGCCTCCTTGCTTGTGCTTTAGGAGCCCAATTTGACTACACCGAGTATCTTTATTTTGCTAGTGATAATATGTGGACAACTTTAAGAACAGAAAGACGATACACAGGAAGACTTGGAAGTAGCGAGCTTGAGCTGAGAGCTGCAGAATCTTCACACTATTGTTAAACCCGTGCGCATTACCATTTTGCATTTTAATACAAGAAGCGAACCTCTCATTTCTCACTTCCTCTTTTATAGTTCTTGTCTTCACTGCATTTTTGAGACGCCGAGGATGAACACACATTTGGAACAGTTGTTAGAGGAATGTAACTGCCATGTAGTTCAAGCTGGCCTCAAACCTCTGGCAGTCCTGCTGCCTCAGCCTCCGGAGTGCTGGCAACGCAGGTGTGCGCCACCGCACCCACCTGAGAATTTTTCTTTTTTTGCAGTATGGGGATTGAGCCCGGGGCCTCAAGCACGCTAAGCAGGCGCTCTACCGCTGAGCCACACCCCGACCCCATGGCACCCTAATGTCTGTTACTGTTCTTGCTCAGAAGGTTGTTGGTCCCGCGCTGTGGAAAAAGGCAAGTCCTGCATTCAGAGGGAGGCCGTGGGGCCCACGCCCCTCACCCTCCCTGGCCCCGGCCTCAGCGTGCAGAGTGGGGCCTGGGAGGAAAGCTCATGCCCGTCCACCTGGGCCCGCACAGGCCGCGGGAGAGAAGAGGTTACGGCGAGAAGTGAGGTGCATCCGGAACCCCGGACACGCTCCGGCCTGGCCGGGGACGCTCTGGACTCAGCGCCCTTTGGTTCTGGGTCAGATATTTTTTCTGGTTGGTCGTCTTGGGAAACTGAACCTCAGGACACGTTTGTTGAATTCCTATCCTGAATTAGTCTTTCCAGGTTTGCATCAAAGAAGAAAAGGGTATTTCATGTCCTTCAGTCTAGTTTACTAAGCAAAATCTAACAATAAATAAGGGGGTGCCTGACTACCAGAGTCTCCTGGTGCCTCCCTGACCCCGAGGGATGCACACAGGCTTGCAGAGGCTGCCAGCGGCAGAGGGAGCCCAGAACATCTGGCCGAGGACTTGGCTTTATTGAGAGAGTCCTCTCTGCTGGATTCTCTTATAAAGGAAGAAGTTCTCCCAGGTGACGGAGGCAGAGGAAGTCACTCTGCAACTGCAGGCCCCAGACAAGTGCCTGGCATCTCCTTCCAGTGGCCCTGGGGGCAGGACAGAGACAGACTACAGGGCTCTGGATTGCTCTTTTCTTAAACTTAAAATACCCTAGCATTTTCCTCTAGGAGCTGAGTCCATCTGGCCGGACTTGGATTATAAAAATGCAAGAGGATGAATTGAATCCAGGTCCTGTTCAAGCCCTGCAGTCAGCCGGCCTCCAGGAACATGGGAAGGAAGCGGGCCAGGAACCTGCCTGTTGCTGGTCCCAGCCCGGAAGGTGGAGACAGCGTGTCTCTGCGTCCTGCCCAGAACTGAAGCCGCCCCTTCTCACTCTCCTGAGGGTGTCAACCTGTTGCCCTGACTCCTGGGCTTCGGCTCCCAGCTGAATAAGGACCGGTCCTTGCACAGCACGTGTGTTAGCAACGCTGACAACACTCCCGGCGTGCTGCTATCAAGTCCTGCTCTTCAGTAGGACAGTGGCAGCCAGCACAGGCTCAGTATCTCTTACCCAGAATGCCTGGGGTCAGAGGGCCTGGTGTGTTACGTTACTGACAGGTGGAGGATCTGGCTCACTGAACCTCCTTAGCTAGGTCAGTGGTGTAACTCACTGGGCCTCCTGACACCTTCGTTTGGGTCAGTGACATCGACTCCTCAGGCCAGCAAGCGATAGGTCCTCTCTACTCCTTTTTAATTACTTTGGGGACAGAGGGCTTGCTGGGTTGCTCAGTCTAACCATGAACTTCGGGATCCTCCTGCCTCAGCCTCCAGATTGCTAGGATTACAGGTGCCTGCCACTGTGCCTGGCTTCCTTTTTCCTTTTGAAGCAGCTTTATTACTGAGGTCGCTTAGAAGAGTTAAGAGCTCTGATTTCAGCTGCAGTGTGGGCCGTGAGCAAGCAGCTCAGAATCTCCTCCCTTCCCGTCACTGCCGGGTTTGTTTTCTGGACCCGGAAGAGCTTCCTGCTCCCTGTTCCGTGGCTGCTGCCTGGACGGCAGTGCTGGTGTGGGTTCCCTTGGCACTCTGTCACCCACCTTATCACCGTGGGGGTGACCTCCACACAGAAGAACACGCTGAGGCTCCCGACGGCATGGGAGGCGAACATGCCCACGATGGAGAAGGAGATGGAGAACTTGTCCTTCACGCTGTCGCTCATCCCTGAAGGGCAGGAGAAGGGGACGTGAGGGTAGGGAGGCGGGGGCCAGGCGGGGAGCAGTGGGGCAGGGATGGGGGCCCTGGGCCCCGGGAGGCACGCGCCTGGCTCCCTCCGCCCCTGAACACCGAGCCCGCCCCAGCGCTGCCAGTGGCGGTGCCCAGGAGGGGGACCAGGGCGCCTCAGCGACTTCAGCCTCAGACTTTCGCAGCCAGATCTAGGATATCTTAGTCAAAAAGGCACATAACCGAGAAGTACGTGCCAGGCCTGCTGGGAGAGTGCGCGGCAGCCCCAGGGCCTGACAGTGGCTCCGGAGTCTGGGTGCGCAGGTGGTGTCCAGCGCATGCACTTGGGGGCCACACACCTGGGCCTGGCTGCCACCCCGGGGCTGCACGGAGGGGCACAGGCCCAGGTGGGGCCAGGCATGTGCAGCAGCAGTGGGAGGTGCAGCCCGGTGACTCCGCTGTCCCGGAGCGGACAGCACCCAGCTTTCGAGAGCCCCAAGGGGGCAGCGGCTTCCCCCAGCAGTGCAGCCAGCCAAGCCCAGCACCCCGGGGCTCTGATCCCCCACCCTGGCTCTGTCCGGAGACCACTGCCCTGGCACCTGGCCAGGGCCTGCTCTGACTGAGGGGACAGGCGGCATGCGTGCCAAGCTGCACAGAACCGGGCAACACGAGTCGCCCTCTCTAGCGGCAGGAGGGGGCAGAGAACACAGATGTATAGTGTCCAACCTACGGCCAACTTCAGCTGCAGTTCTTGGAGGGCAAAGGGGGAGAAGAGAGAGGAAATGGAAACCAGTTGGTGATTCTTTCTGAAAATTCCCACGAGGCCACAAAAGATGAGGCTGCGCGGGCGAGCCCTGGGACTCACCTGAGTCTGGGTGCTGGCTGTATTTTCCAATCACTGGGCAGAGGGATGACGGTGCCACAGCCGGGAGGGTAGGAGGCGGAGAGAAGGAGAAGGTGAGTTAGGCGCGGACCTGGCAGTGTGCGACCCAGGGGCTTGCTGCTGAGCGAGGGCCCTGCCATCTGGGCTGGGGCCAGGGGCCTGAGCACTGAACAAAGAGCTCTTTGTTAAGAAGGAAGGCGAAAGCCCCGCTGGCCTTAGAGCCGGGGAGCCCCTGGAGCTCAGGGCTGGGTATGAGGGGCTGCAGCTCTGCCCCCCAAGTCTGCTCCTCACTCTCCCTGCCTTTTGCCCAGAGTTCCCCAGGGTTCCTGCTCTGGGCCAAGGAGGGCATCTGTCCACCCTAGGGACTCGGGCTTCCTGGAAGGACAGCTAGTGACACAGAGACAGACACCTCTGGGCCGTTTCCATGACTGGTTCCAGCTGCAAAGTGGATCAGGCTCCCAGCAGGCAGGGGATGTTCAGGAACTGGCCCGAGTTGGAAAAATAGCTCCCTGGCATCGGTCTGCATGTGGCTGCTCGGTGTGTGCGCAAAGGCCAGGCGTGGGTCTGATTCTGGCAGCCAGGTTCTCTCTCCTTCTATCGAAGGGGGCATTCGTGGCATAGATTCCCCCAGTGACCAGGGCATGAGAAGGAGCCCAGTGGTCAGCTCAGGAGGCCGGGTGCCATTTCCTCACAAGAGGTGGGCATATCTCGTGAGCAGCTACCCTGAGCTTGCTGGAGGGGCCGGATGGACTCTTTAGCTTTGGCTTAGATTATTTCTAACATTTATCGAGGCATTCTTGGGTCAAAGGAGAAGATGCATAACTTGGGAAAATCTATGGAAAGTCAGGACCCTGTGCAAGATGTTAAAACAGAGTCGTTTCCCCCTAAAGTCACACAAAAGAAACCCGTCATTTGCTGTGTGTCACGTGATGAATCCCATAGAAACAGTCTGCCCCAGTGAGTCATAAAGTCACATCCACCAGGACCTGTGGCGGGCCTGGTGTGCTGGGCAGCTGCCCTGCAGCTGGGACTCTCGGAGTGAGGCCACAGAGCAGGGCACCGAGGGGAAGAAAGCCCAGCACTCTTGGAGATGCTAATTTAAGCTCCGTCCTTGTCAAAGCCGTGAAATCTGGAATGCCCGCCCAGGCCCCAGCACACTCCTCAGCTCCTCTGCTGTAGTTTTAGACCTCGAATGTCCCCCAAAGGCCCATGTGTTGGATGGAGCACTGGTCTCCAGGTTTCGGGAGGTGGTGGAAACTTTAAAGGGTGAAGCTTTGAGGGAGGAAGTTAGGCCAGTGGGGGCGCCCTGGAAGGGGGCTGTGGGCGCTGGCCCCACCTCTTCCACTGTCATTTGTGGCTCAGCCAGTATGAGGTGGGCACCTTGCACTGCCACATGCTTCCACCATGAATCGGGGCCTCGCCACAGGCCCAAAAGCAATGGACCAGCTCGCCATGGACTGACCCCTCTAACACCTGAGCCACAGCCTACCTCTGCTCTTTTTAAGTCAGTCCTCCCTGGTATTTTGTTACCATGACAGCCAGTGCGCCTCCCTCTTCAGCGGTTCAGCCTCCCACCGCGCACCCTCTCACCTGGCCCCTCCCCACCACTCACAGTTGAGGAGTCCGAGCTGCAGCAGGGAGGCCAGGGCGGTGAGGATCATGAAGAGCAGCAGCCCACCCCTGCGCCCCAGGAACCTGACCACCACGCACATGGCCAGGCAGGATGCCAGTGTGATGCTGGCCATGGTGTAGTAGTCGGCATAGAAGTTCTCCAGCGGTGGCACCTTCACCTCGTGGCCCATCATGCTCCTTGCAAAGCAGTGGTGGATCCCGAACCCTGTCAGCCTGTGGGGGACACGAGGGTGGGGAGTGGGTGGCGTGCACGGACCCCAGGGTTGCGGCCCCTCCTGGTGACCGGGAGAGGGAGAAGCAGCTGAGTGTGAGGGGGAAGCATGCTGTTGCCATACTAGGGCTGTGGTGGAGTAAAATGCAAAAAAACAGGCTTCAAAGAAGGCCCAGGTGGTCTCTTTCCAGGGAGCCAGTGTGTAACTCAAGGCACTTTCTGCGCATGAACTCAGAGCCAGGGCAGCACTGTGGGAACGGCCCTCATGCCTGCTCCTTGGAGGGTCCCAGCTGGGAAGTGCAGCTCTGCGACACTTGCCTCCTCCCGGGGTGCTCAGCCTTCTGGAGACTTGGGAACCCACTCCGAACAAGGGCTCTTCCATCCCAGGGCTCAAAATGCCTCCTCTCTCCCAACCCTCCTCTCCTGCGGTGGAGAAATCCCAGTGCTCTTTACCTGACCTCAGGATGCCTCAGACCCTGCCCCCGGCAAGGGGAGACCACCAGGGGACCCTCCACGAGGGGAACCCAGCTCCCCGGAGCCGGCATTTACACCCGAAATGGAGCCAGCTGGCTTAGTCTCCTGAGCTCCTGCAGGGATTTCCTTTCTTCCTGCCCACTGAGCTCTCAAGGCAGTCTTCCTTTTGTTCTGACTGCAATAGGTAAATTTATTTATTTATTTATTTTGGTACTGCGGATTGAACTTGGGACCTTGCACTTGCAAGGCAGGTGCTGGAACCACTGAGCTAAATCCCCGGCCAGCACAACAGGTAAATTTAAAATAACAAGACAAAGAACTAGGACTACAGGTCCCATGTGACCCAGCTATTCCCCTGCTGGGTATCTTCCCCAAAGAATTAAAAGAATCATACCCCAGTGATACATGTGCACCCATGTTTATAGCGGCACAGTTTGTAATAGCTAAAGCTTGGAAACAGCCCAAGTGCCCATCAACTGGAGACTGGATAAAGAAAATGTGTGTTTTTTTTTTAATAAAATGGAGTACTACTCAGCCATAAAGAATGAGAAACCAGAGCCATTTATAGCTAAATGGATGCACACTGAGGCCATCCTCTTAAGTGAAATAAATAGGACACATGTGTGCAAATACCGAATGGTTTCTCTAGTGTGAGAAACTGAAAGTGTAAATAAGGATTAAAAGGATTAAAATGAATAACTGATAATCTGAAATAGGAAAAGGTCCAAAGGTGTAGGGGTGGTGGGAAGGGAAGGAGAAAGGGAAGAAGGGAAAGGAAAAATTATGAGAAAAGAAAAAAACTGGAAATGAGATCTATGTAAATAGAGAAGGGCGGAGGGGGTGAAGGACGCACAGGTAATGGAGAAAAAATATGAACCAAGATACATCAGGTACAGGTACAAGCACCCAATGGTAAATGTAAATGAACTGTATACCTAAAATGTACCAATAAAAGAATTTAAGGAAAAAAAACTGAAATAAAATAACAAGACCAGGAAGATGAATTCCCCTCCTCTCACAGGAATCACTAAAATGCAAATGCATCGTCTTCTCCATGCCAATTTTCTTTTTAAGCCTAAGTTGGAGAAAGTCCTTCTGCCCCTAATGGCACCCCGCCTGGCCAGCACCTGCCTGAGACTGGACAGCAGCTGGGTGACCGTGCCCGGGCCACACCGGGCAGGACATGGGGCCGGACAGACCCAGGCCTGGCCTCAGCCGAGGGTGGAAAGATCAGAAGTGACTGCACCTCTGCTCTTGTGTTGTTTGGCAGCGAGACCTTTCGTATCCTGCCCAAACAAAATTGAATCTGGAACCCCAATATCAAGATGTGGTTAAAATAGATACACTGACAGAAGAGAGTTGGGAGGAAACGGAGGCCCGTTCCTGGGCCTCTCTACTGGAAGGCAGCCTTGGGACCTTTCATAAAGAAGTGCAAAGCCCTCGCTTGGATGGCCTCTGACCCTGAGAGCTAACCACCCAGGTGACCTCTGACCCGAACGAGGGTCCACCTCGCGCAGCCAGGAAGGGCAGGGTCACCGATCTGTGAGGTGAGACAGGAAGGACCTTCCAGGTTCACACTGAGCTGGGACACAGCTGCCAAGGGCCCTGAGCACAGGAAGTGGGCCGAGCGGCAGGGCAAGAGGCTCTGGGGCATCTGGGCCCATGCTCGGGGTCGGGGGACCGGACACTCTCTGCAGCTGGCCTCATGTGGGTGCCTTAGAGCAGGCCAGGCTGCAGGGGAGAGCACAGCCACTGCCTTTGTCCGCCCAAGGCACTGGGGGGTCCCCGCCCTATGCAGGACACAGGCTCCTTGGGTGGGCAGTGGACGTCTTCAAGCCCTGCCCCCTCTGCCCACAGACAGTGGCTCTGCTGGGCAGTGTCACGCTCCCTGTCCTCATCAGAGCCAGTCGGGGTGCGGAGGCGGCCTGCACTGCGTGTCACGGCCGAAGGTGGCCCAGGACTCACGAGTTCACGCACAGGACCACGATGTTCTTCCACAGGTTCCGGGTTCCCACCACCTTCACGATGCACACCTTCTTGGGCCTCCGGGAGAGCTCCTTCTCCAGCTCTGCAAGAGACAGATGGTGAGCCTGGGGGCCTGGGGAGAGCCGTCCCTTCCCCTGCAGTTGGGCTAGGCTCTAGGCTTTCGGGGCTCGAAAGACTAACTTCGCTGTTCAAGTTCCCCTGTAGAGCCTGGAAGGGCTCCAGAGCCCACAGCCAGTGAGTTTCCATCCCAAACCCTTGCTACTATGGAACCAGGCAGCCTGCACACAAATAAGCACAGCGTGGCCTCAGGTCCCCGTGCCTGAGAACCGCACTCAGGGATGGGATTCTAGGTCCCTGGGGCCCTTGGCGGCCAGGCTCTGGGCAGAGGCGATGAGCGGGAGAATCACATGCATCCGGGTGCCCTGGGCTCAGAGAGCAGTGGGGCTGTGCTGCTGCAGGCCACGACCGCAGCTACTTCTGCCCACATCCTGGGAGCGTGTGGGTCTTTGAATACACGTGTCTACTACGTGGGTATGCGTGTGCATATGTACATGTGTGCACGTGTATGTGACTGTTTCAGCGAACAGCCTGGAGCCTTCGGGGCTGGAGCTGGGTGCGTAGCTCAGTGGTAGAACAAGTGCTGAGCACACCCGAGGCCCTGGGTTCCATCCCTGCACCGACAGCACGAAACCCGTCGGTGACGCACACGCCAGCCGAGAGGGTTGTGTCCGGCTGCACAGCTCTGAGACACAGGCGTCCTCAGGAGCCGTCCCGACCCCGCCTGACCGTGCCCCAACATCATAGCCCCAGGCCAGGAGTTTTCGGGTGTCCTGGAGCCGTGTGGCAGTCTGACTGGGACGCCCAGACAAGGGACAGCTGTGGTCTCCGGAGCAGCCTGCCCCGTCTGCAGCAGTGCCCGCTCGGCCTCCTGGAGTTGCACCCCAACCACGGGCTCCGAGGGAACACGGGGCCTACAGACCCCAGCACTGTCCAGGTCGGGCAGCGGGGCAGACTAAGAGCCTGTCCTGGACCAGGGCTGCGGGGGTGGGAGAGGCGGCCTACGTCCTGGATGGGACCCTGCGCAGGTCCCCCGTGGGAAACCAGCAACTCCCAAGAGCGCTGGAGTCTGGTTAGCAGTGGTTCCACCACGATTCACTCCTGACAAATGCGCACGGAAACGTCAGGGCACAGGGCATTGTCAATGGGGAAACTGAGTCCGGTGCTGTCTTGGCAACTTCTCTGTATGTATGACATTACCCCAGACAAGAAATGTGTTATAAATAAATAAGAATGCCCGGGGAGACGGAGAAGCCTCTATCTACTGAGGACCCTCAGGGCTCAGAGGCTTATGGAGCCCACCCGCCATGGCTGCAGGACTGGAGTCTGGCCTTCACCAAGCAGGGATCTAAAATATTTGAAAGGACGCCATCTGTACTGAACACGTGCAGACTATCTTGTCACTATTCCTGAAGCAATAAAGTGTGCTGACCGTCTACACAGCATCACACTGCATCGTCTAGAAAAGACTCAAGTCCCTGGGGACGTGTGTAGGCTGTATGCAGACATGGCACCATTTCATACAAGGGCTCAGGTTAGCAGATGTCGGGGGTCCTGAAGCCAATGCATCACAGCTGTCAGGGCTGAGTGTTGCTGCCTCGGGGGGAGCCCCCTGCTCCCCTGGGGCGTGCACCCCTGCGATATCACCCAGGAGCCCCACACTGTTACTCCCTAGGGCCACTCCCACTCTGGGGCGGGCCACATTCGACCCGCCTGTCCTGCCTCGTCCATCACAAACCTCATTCCTCATAGTTTGAAGAAGAAACATGTTGCTTAAAAATAGGGGTTGAGGAATTTATTTAAACAATTTTTTGGGCTTAAGTCATCACCCGGGGTAGAAAGGAGAGAAAAAGCGTTTCCTCTGTCAGAGGGACACATGAACCTTCTTCCTCACCAAATTAGGCATACGGGTCAAGGTCTGTGCAAAAGCCAGCCCCGCTGGGATCCCACCCTCTGTCCACAACACTCAGCTCCCCAGGTCCCCTGGCTGGTCTCCACCCCTCAGCAGAAACAGGCTCTTCTGACTTACAGACACCTTTTCTGAAGAGTAAAACAGCAAACACTCATTAGCGTCATCTGGCGACAGGGCTAGTGGATCCAGTCTGGGAAGTGTGGTTAGGTGCTGTGTCATCGTGCGCACATCCTAGACTGTCCCCCACAAACCGAGATGGCATAAAGGGCCCCAGGAGACCAACAGACGCGAAAACTCGATAGGCAAAGCTGCTGTTTCATAGCCAACCTCTTGTTTCTAATGAGGAGGGCACTTGGAAACAACAATGCAGGTACAATAGACTGAGTGGGAAGTGACTGACGCAATCATCTATCGTCAAGTGTCATGCACTGTGCGGAACTGCATGAGTTCCTGCTCACACGACTGGCAGTGAAGTAGGCGTGTCACTACAGTTTCGCTACAGACACATGGGAAATGTGTCTCACTGTGACACTGCAACAGCTCTGATGTTTAGAAAACTTTCTGCTCCATTGAAACCTGACGGGACCACAGCTGTGCATGCGTCTATCAGTGATCCAGGTGCTGCGATGCGGCATGTGACTGTGTTTTTAAAAAGCTTGGGAATACGATCACCAGATACCCTTAGCTCCAACCATCCGGTATCCCTGCTGCCGGTAAACTCATCCGAAATCACCTGGAATGGCCGCACTTTCTTACCAGGCCAACCTTCCAGGAAGGAAATAAATGTAAATGTCCATTGGCGCGTTTATATAAGCTTAACGTTGTTGCTTTCTTTAATGTGGCCCACACTTAACTGGAATGCGTTACTGTGTATGAAATACAATGTTAAGGCGGCAGCAATTACATTAGGGCCTGAATTAGTAACATTAAACCCCAGAGCCCAGTCTAAGAATTGACTGTAGTCCACAGAAGTAACCACATTATTCTAAGTGGAATTAAATTAACCTTTCTGGAGCTATTGATATTTTGTCAGGGTCTCTGCTCCTCTCATCGCTGGCCTATCAGACAACATAAAACTTCTACAGCACTAAGCTTGTCTTTCTGGGGAAGAAGCCCACAGGCTCTGCGTTCCAAGTGGCATTAACCGACTGGAGGCCCTGTGAGGTTGCTGGTCCCAGAGGTGTTCCTGTCTCTCTACTTCTCTGATGGAAACGAGGGACTTTTCCAAACTCTGTGCACACGGAAGTAAAAGGAGCTGAATGTAACACTCATTGCTTTCCATGGATATCTCCGAAGTCTCCCTCATTTCTCAGGGCAGCTAATTGAAGCCACTCACACTGAACTTCATGGGTTCACGTCCCAGCTCACTTCCTTTTTTTTTTTTTTTGGTACCGGGGACCGAACTCGGGTCCTTGCACTTGCAAGGCAGGCGGTGGAACCACTGAGCTAAGTCCCCCACCCCAGCTCACTTCTTAATAGGTGTGTGACCTCTGGCAAGGCCACTCAGGCTCCACGTGCCTCAGTTTCCACATCTGCAAATGGGGGTCATCATAGCATCTCCCCAGAGGACAGGTGGAAAGAGGTTAATTTGTGTAAAGCATTTAGGATTAAATATCAGTTAATATTTACACATCTTGTTTATCATCACTGCCCGGGGTGAAAGAGGCAGGGCCCCGGAGGGAGCAGACTTAACCCTCTGGAAGCCAGGACCCTGGGCCGGTCTCTGCGGTGCTAAAGTGTGTGGTGGAGTCCAGCAAGCTCCTAATTGGACATCTGGTGAGAAGCCAGCTGGGCACCACAGGCTTCGGATCCAGATCTCTCCATGCCCCTTCCCCTGCCTGGCTCAAGTCCCTTCTTCCTGGAGCTCGGAGCTGGGCCACCCAGCTTTTCTGGCTGCAGTCACTCACCACGCCCTCCATGGCTCTGCCGGCCTTTCCCCACCTGACTGAGAGCCCAGATAGCCACTCCTTGTCCCCAGGCCCCTGCTGTGTGCTCCCAAGAGCAAGGCTTGTCCTGCTTCCTTCTCTGCTCTAGAGCAGTGCCCGACACACAGCGGGTGGCCAGGAAGCATCCATTAGATGAATCAATGAACGGTCGGCACAGGGACTTCCTAGGGGAGAGCTGTGGATCATTTTCCCGGGAATTTTACAACACTGGACACCAGGCCTGCAGGTCGGGGTGGGGCAGAGCCTGCAGCTACCAGGGTTAGCAGATCTGGACATCGATCACACCGGAACCTATTCTGTGCTTATTACAGATCCAAGTCCTCAGGGCTCACTTCAGATCTCGGAGTGCTGGTGAGGGGCCCAGGAATCTGGACGTGACACTTCCTCAGTGTCACTTAAGGATTGCCCCACCTAGATTGTGGCACTGCCCGACTCCCAAGAAATCTACAGATCCAAAGCACCACACAAAAACAGCTCCCTTTTCCAGTTCTTCCACTGCCCAGCAAATAGGTCATGGCCGGAAATAGACAACGGCAGCTCTCTGGTGGGCAGAGTTGGGAAAAGAGGGCCTGTGAAGGCTGTCCACACCCGGGCCCGGCTCTGGCAGGGCCCAGCCTCACAGCCCACAGCCCACAGCCCGGTGAAGACCAGCTGTGTGCTAGGCTCACACCCTGCCTCCGGACTCGGATGAACAGTGTGTGTTGATCATGATCGTGAAAGAAACCAGCAGAGAGAATTTCAGCTCACTCTCAGTCTTGGGCACCAGGGGCCACGGCTGCCCTTCTCGGACCAGGTGCTTGCAGGGGAGTGGAACAGCCAGCCCAGCCACACCCGCTCACCTGGCATCACGCCCTTGATGTCGCTCTCCGGACTTATGCAGTTCTTCTGTATGAAGTGCAGGATCAGCTTCTTCGAGGCCTCAAACTGCTGGGTCGCCATCAGCCACCGGAGGGACTCAGGGAATATCCTGCAGAAATGCACAGGGAATGGCTGAGTGTCTTCCGGCTCAGGCCTGAGGGGTGCTCCCCCACCCGTAGGCCACACACGTGCCAGCCCGGTCAGGGAGACGAAATCGTGGGTGCTGAGATGTACCCAGTTCCCTTCGAGAAGGTGTGTAAAGCGAGACTGGAAAAACGTGGCTGGTGTGAATAACACTCTACATTCTAGCAACCGTGTCAGGGAATCAGTGTATAGCTTTCAAAACAACCATGGCTTGTTTCTTAAAAATATTTTCTTAGTGCTGGGGATAGACCCCAGGGCCTTGTGCACACTATACGGGCGCCTTATCCCTGGGCTGCACCCCGACTCCCCACATACGGATTTCAACCGCGTGAAAAGCAACTCCCCGAAGGCTTCAGCTATGCTTTGTCACAAAGCACAAATATTAATGGGATCATGTTAAGTTTTGCAAATTAGTCCTAACACGATTGGCCTGGAGTTACTTTCCGTTCTCGCACATGTGAAAGCTCCCTCTCCCAGCTTCCTTTCAGAATCATTTCCATTTGCTGCCGAGCGTCACTGCACCCCGAGAGGATGTCACAAATCAGCAGCAACAGAATTTTTTTGTTTTTTAAAAGATGAAATCTTGTGAGGATCTCCAGTAGAGGAAAAAGAAACCTAACCTTTTATTATGAGTTTATTTTGTCAGTTTGCACATATGACAATATTTAGGAGAAAATCAAAGAGGACAGTGACTATTCGGAGCAGAGGTTGGTGCAGTTTCCTGTAAAAGCCCAAACAGTCAGTATTTTGGACTCGGAGAGGGAAGTGGTCACTGCCGTAGCCCAGGACTTGGAGGGTGACCATGGCTCTGTACAAACAGGGAGACTCCTATAACTAGGAGCGATGGAAGGAGACTCAGAGCGAAGGATGACAGTCCTAGCCAGCCCAGCCCCCAACCCTCTTGTTAGCTGTGTCGTTTCCAGGCAGTCACGAGGGGCACGGGGAAGGAGCTGCTGGGACAGCCTGACCCCTGCCTGGTCGGCCTGCACCGTCTCATTAAATGAATCCAGTGGCTGGAAAAAATATCAAAGGCTATGGCCTCCACGTTGGTGACCCCAGCCCACAAATAGAAAGAAACACATGTTGAAACAAATGGTAGAAACATATGTTGCAAATTGTAGGCTCTGATTTTTCTCTTTCAATAATCTAGATTAATGTTTTACTGGCCTCTATTAAAATTAATTTGGAATAACATAACTCAAGCAAACAGAAACAGATATAACACATCAGTATTACAGATAATTAAAATCTGGGATTTTAATTAATTTTTTCTGGTACCGGCGATTGAACTCAGGACCTTGAGCTTGCCAGGCAGGTGTGGTACCACTGAGCTACATTCCTGGCCCAAAATGGCATTTTTAATCTCAATTTTTTTTTTGGCACTGGGGATCGAACTCTGGACCTTGCGCTTGCAAGGCAGGTGGCAGGACCACTGAGCTACATCCCCAGCCCTCAATTTTTTATTAGTATATGTTTGTGATACATAGTAAATTACATCCCTTGTCAGAGAATTGGTACATATAGATGTCATATCAGATTTCTTCTTCATAATGAAATAATCTAACAAAAATGTCAACTCCCTATAAATGTTCAGCTATATTATTTCTGTTTTTCTGATATTATTTAAATTTAATGTTTTAAAAAAATTTCTTGAGATGGACATATGCATCACTAATGTCCATTTAAAAAATTTATTTTATTGGTACATTTTAGGTATACAATTGTCCATTTTAAATATATATATATTTATATGACTTTAAAATTTCATGCAGCATTTTAGCTACATCTGTGATTTGATTCCAAACATTTCATGATTTCCATTAGATTGTCCTTTCCCAGTGGGAGAGATATATAATTTGCACAAATTATTTTGCAGGTAGTTTCTGAACCATTAAAACATGGTATACAACACGTGGCAGTTGTCTTTTTAAAATAGTTGAACATTATTATTTTTTTTGGTACCAGGTATTGAACTCGAGACCTTGCCTTGTGCTTGTGAGGCAGGCGGTGGAACCACTAAGCTAAATCCCCGGGCCGAGCATTATGTACATCAAATGTTTTGGGCACCAGCTTGGGGCAGGGACTGTGTTCTGAAACACGACGGCCACAAACAAACGCTGTGCGGGGAAGAACAGGCCCAGAGACGGGGCTTGGGAGGGAGGCCGCAGCCCAGCTTCCAAGCCTGGACCAGGAGCCCCCGCCTGCGCCTGCAGGAGACAGGCGGAGGAGGCTCTGCCCCAGCATGTGCGGTCCAACCCGGCCCCCTTAGCAAGTCCAGCTCCTCCACTGCCCCTCAGGCTGTGCCCACAGGGCGGTGAGCCCTGCAAGACACGCAGCTCTGACCCCTGGCGCGGCCAGGGCAGGAACTACAGGTGACAAGCTCTTGAGCAGCATCAGGCCATCAGCGTGATACAGTCCCGCACTGTGCACACACTGCTGTTGTCACCGGAATCCCACCAGTCCCGGCACTGGCCCCCGGGCTGCAGGGCTGGACCTTAGAGCCCCGGGCCTCCCGGGAGGAGACTTTTTCCTTCCCAGGGGGCAGAGGTGCAGGCGGAGGCCAGAGCCCCTTGACGGAGGCCTCAAGTGCAGCCCAGGGCACCTGGGTGGACTCTGGGATGCTGCTTGATTCCCGAGAGGCCGTCCACTCTTCAGCATGTCCTTGGCACCCGAGCCAGGTCCACAGAGAACGATGGCTGAACTTGAGAACAGTGGGTACAGGTCCTGATGCCGTGGGTGGTGGAGATTGCAGGCTTCACAGAATCTACTGGGCAGCAGCATGGGCCGGGAGTCAGAATAAGCGCTCTCCCAGGCGATGTGGGCGGATCATGGAAGCCACTCAACTGTCTTCAATGGCGACAGCCAACAGATCTCTCTCCTCACACTGGGCCGATGATCACCAGCCGCCGTCCTACTGGTTTGCTGTGTCAAGTTCATTACCTGCTGAACTATTATCGCCCCATTGTACGACAGGACAGCTCAGGCAGAGTTCATCTGCGTTGCTCAGGACCACAGTGAGATGAAAGGGCAGAGTGGGGACTTGAACCCTGACACCTGACTCCAGGGCCACAGCCTGAGGCGGGTGGACATGGCAAAGCAGCAACCCAACCGCCTGGCTGGCCCCTGAATGGCTGGCGTTTGGGAAATGGCCTCCCAATGGCTGCCGCAAGCCCACGGGGGACTCGGAGCACTTGAGTTTTGCGATGCGCTCCAGGGATTTAAACTCAGCCCAAGTCACACAGAACTCACCGGACCGCCGGCCACAAGCAGCCCAGAGAGTCCCGCGTTAGTCTCCCAGTGACGCCACGCAAGTTAAAAAGCTGGCCAGTGGCCCAGAACCTGGAAGGAGCACAGCCGAAGCTCAGAGAAATCCATCACTTTCAACCAGAAAGTGTGAAGCACACGTCTGTCTGGTGCAGCCTGGCTCACGCATGGCTGCTAGGTGACCCTGAGGGCGACTTCTGGAGCCGTCAGAGGCAAGGAGCGGGGAAAGCCCGGGGCGCTCCAGGTGGGTGGCTTCGCAGCTCGTGCCAGGAGTGGCTGCGGCCAGCACCGCAGCACTTTTTGCTGAACTATTCAGGTCTCTCACTGCCTGCTATCACAACACGTCCACGAGGCGAGGACCCAACTGCGGGACCACTAGGCAGGGGAGGAGGAGGTCGGTTCTGAGAGCAAATGGCCTGGCTGGACCCACAGGGACGGAGCACGAAGCTCAGGACTGGAAGTACTTAGCTCTTTGCCGTGTGGTGAGACTTCGGTCCCCGCCTCACAGGTGGGAAAGCTCAGCAAACAAGGCACAAGAAGGACACTGGCTACAGGCACAGCTATTCCCAGGCCGCGCTAGGATATGAACCCGCAATCTGACGCGGGAGGTTTTCAGACCTTCCTGTCTGCCAAGCGTCGCTCCTAGCCGCATGGCCCATCGCTGCCCCAGGGTTCTGCGGCAAGGCGAGGGCACATCCGCAAACTCCTACTTGGCCTGCTAAGCCCCCAGCGGGAGGCCCTGGGAAGAGGGGACAGGAGCCCAGCTGGATGCAGAGTGGAGGAGGAGGCGGCTCCCTGGAGCACAAGGTTCCAGCAGGGGTCAGCCGATTGGCCAGAAGGGCGGAGGCCCCGCGAGGACAGCGCTGGGCCGCCCCGGACATCCGTGGGTGCGGGAGAGGCGCGGAGGGCGCGAGACCCAGCCGCTCACTGAGGTTGCGGACCTCACGCAGAGGGACGGTTAGCGGAGCCGATGCCACGCCCACTTGCAGGACGCGCACGGCTGGGCGCACACGCACCCGAGCTGCAGACGCGACTTCCCTCCTGGCCCGGGGCCTCGGGCCCTGGGGACCCTGGGGGCAGACGGCTGTTTCCCTCCGGGGGTAACACCGCTCAGGACCTCTCGTCCCAGGTGAAAGATCGGCGGACCCGGGCCCTTTTCAGAAACGTGTTCCGGATGGCCCATGGTCCACAGCCACGCGCGGGCGATCCCAAAACCTTTCTTTGAGCCCGGTAACAGTCCCGGAACCGGGAACGGGCCCGAGCCGGACAGAGGCGGAGCGGACCCGGATGTGGCCGAGCTCGGCCTCCACCCTCTCTCCGGAGCCCCGCAGACGTTCGCCTCACGGCAGGTCGCTGGTGCGTGATGATGCCCTCGCCGCAGACCCTGGGGCTGCTCAGCGCTGGCCGGTGCTTTGGGGAGGCGATGGCGGAGGCGCCTGTGGACGCCGGGCTGGCGGGGCGCCCCGGGAAGGGCCGAGGGGCGCTGCTCTGCGGAGCTCTCCTGTCACCACCCCAGTGACAGGTGGGACTACCCTGGTGCGCTAAGGCCAAGGACATGGGAGTCAGTGAGTTTGGCTATGGAATTCTCAATGATGCAAATCACAGGTGAACCTATTCTCTACTTAATGAAAATATTACAGACTCCCTCAGTAGATGCATGGACAAGCAAGATGCAAGAGAGACATACACTGGAGTCTAACT